TCAGCCTCTCACAAACTAGAACTGGCCTTATCTGTTAGCCACAGTGCCTGAAGCTTTTCTTCTAGCTGACTTTCTCTTCCAGCTGCTTACCAGTATGCAAAGGCAGAGATTTCTGAACAACAGGTTTCCTCTTCTGCAGCAGAAGAATGGAATCAGGGAGAATAAAAAAAACTACTGCAGATACAGAACAATACCTATTTTCTTATATTATTAATAGAGTAGGTTATTGATGCTTCCGATTAATTACATCCTGACTTATCAAACAATAGGGATTGTTTCCTGGTGAGACAAAAATATGTCTAATTTTTATTACTGTTTTAGTATTTTCATTGATTCAAAATGTAAAAAAAATCCATATACACACACACAACATCAAACCTTCTCATTGTGAATTGAAGTGCAAGCATGCTCTACCAGATCAGCTCTAATGTTTCACACCACGCACACCTCAGTAGCCCCTTTTTTCTCTCTGTATTTGTAGTCTGGGCAGTGAGTTTTGTTTGCTTCCTTTTTTCTCCTTCTCTCCCTTTCTCTTTCATCTTTCAGCAAGAGAAAAAAGGGAAATAAACAGGGTGGGGAGACTAAGAGTGTATAACAGAAGTTGTCCATTACAAATCCAACTGGAACAAAAATTTTCTGTTGCAGATCACTTCAAAACAGATGTTTCTTTCATAATCATGCAATCAGGAGGAAAATGCAGAAAAAGGAAGTGATCGCATCCTCCCAAACATTATGAGTTTTGTAGCATTCAAAAAGACACATTTTTCATTTTGGAAGAATTGAAAATGTGTCAAGCCCCTCTAGTTATTAATCCATACATCCAGCCTGAACTGGGATTGAAGTGATAACCAACTCAACATCAAGTCTGTACTGGTTACCTGGCAATAGTTTAATGATTATCTTGGATATGATTAATGAAAAATACTATTAAGAACAATCATGTTGCACCACACCCTGAGCTGACTTCCACTCTGTCCTGCAGCCAAGGTCTAATCCGGGCCCTGCAGGCAGCAAGACCCAGGCAGGGCACACCGAGGACCTCAGGAAGAGCAGGAGCCTCTCCTCTTCCAGCAAAAGTTTGATTTTTCTTGTTTTTCATTTTTTTTCTGTGCATGGCAGTGAGATGCAGCCCTCCCGCAAGCCACCAGGCAATACTCTGTTGCTCAGCAACCCCATACTTGCTGAGAAGGCTCTTTTGCAGCCGTAAAACTGGGTTGAAGAGGAAAATGAGGTGACATGACACCCAAAACCTGCCAGGTGACATGACACCCAAAACCTGCCGCTTAGGTTGCCCAAGCAGCAAGGTCCCTACAAGCTGATGCAGGTCAGTAGCAGCGAGGACCCTGGTGGCAACGTCAGCCAAGGAGCAGCACTGCACCTTTTGCTCCTCTGCATCTGGTCAGTTCTGAAGCATTTAGTGATGATTACCCCAAATTAATTCATTGAATAATTAATTTAAAAGGTCTCCTGCTCTTCAAAGCCATTTCCAGTGTACCAGTCATTACCAGAGCTGATAACACATTGGGGTTTGCATTAATGGATTGAGTGGAGACTGGGAGGTGGGTTAAGCAAAAGGTGTATTTCATCCCATCAATACTTGGGAAAATCAGCCTGTCCTTCCCTCACCTCCTCCCGAACCAGCAGCAGAGGAGGGTAGGTTCTCTCCCACCTCAATTTGCAGTTGGAGCCGCAGCCATACCCCTCCAAACCCCCAGGCACTGGGGTCTGCAGAGACCGGGTGTTTTGGGGACCCAGAAGCTCTGCTGCCCACAGGGTTATGGTCAGGAGTGGGGCTGTGCTGACGGGTGGGTTTCCACTCCTCTCATGGCGTGTGGAGAAAGGAGAGATCAGGGCCCAGAGGCTAAATAAACCCTTTAACTTCTGTTGGTAGAAACCACTCCGAAAGCTTTTCTGTGCTTGGTCTGACTTTGATAGGGCAGTACATGCGTCTTGACCCATATTAGGAATTATAACTTCTAGAAAACTAACTAGGCTTGTCCGTTAGGTCCACCGGCTTCATGTTCTCGTGTGGTTAATGATGTTGCATAGTAACGTCTTGTTACAAGGTCTGTGAAGGTCCCATCGGGTCGTTGTGGCCAACCCATCGGCAGCTCCAGCAGACCCTACTGCGATCTGTGCCCTGAAAATCCAATCTGCTGCTCCCACAAGCAGAAGATCTGCAAGGCTACCGCGGACGTGGCCGTTTGCCACCTGACCACGATACCTACATGCCGTGTTACCAGAAGGAAAAGAAAACAAATACAGGTTTGACATTATCCCTTGAACCATCTCCTTAATAGAGATGCTGCTTTCAGAAGCGCAGCCTCTCTCACAACATACATCAAGCCATACTTTCCAGGCTGCCATTTTAGGCTAGCTCAGAGGTACCTGTACTCATTTTTAAGCTTTGTTTTCAGTACTGTGAGCATGACTGAGTGTTTCCTATGCACATGATCTGTGCTCGGGGACAACCCAGTCTGAGCAAAAATGCTTGAGGGAATGAGGGGGCTCGGACCCTGGGGTCCAGTGCAAATGCCAGCAGCAAGCTCAAGGTGAGTATGGCAGACCAGCTCCCACTCTTTGAATAAAAAGTTGCTTTTATAACTTGTCAAGGTGATGCAGGTGTGATATACACAGTAAGAAAACACAATTATGCATGCTGTTCCTAGGGAACGATGAACATTGCTTTACACATGTCTAAACAATGTTAAAGCGCAAGAACACCACAGCCATCAATTAATAGATTAATTCATCATTAGTAGAACAGAAACCCTGCTATCCATGTAGTGGTTTTTTGTGTCAGAGCATGGGGTTTGCTGGGATAAAGGCTCGGTACCAGCCCCAGAGGCTGAAGCCCCCCTCTTTCCATGGGTCGCCATGGGGCGGTGCAGGTTGAGGTGATGGAGACAGGAGCCTGGGTCTCTGCTCTTAAAATTATAACAGCAAATTGAAGAACGAAGGCAGGCAATTAAATTATTAAAGAAACTGAAGGATACGTATTTCATATATTGCACAGTGAGGATAAAGACAGATTGCTGGCATTTAATTTTGGTACCATCCAGGGAATAGCTGGGCAGGGAGCGATGTGAAGATGCCAGCGTTGCAGAGCTACTGGCAGAAAAGAGTGGGAAGGGCTGATTTCTGCAGAGGGGAAAGGAGTAATGTACCGGTAACAGAAAATGCAAGGGATAAACTTCTGGATGTGGGAAGAGGTTGATACTGGTGATTAGCTCTGGTATGGCTCTTTCCACCGGCATATTTCAAAGAGCTTTATACTGGAGTATAAGGCCAATTGTGAACACGGAGCAGTGCAGAGCTGTGCACTGAATGCACTTGCTGGCATACCAGCACTCCCAGTCCCCCTCATTTGCAGCACTGCCAGGGGTCATCACATCCCCCTTCCCTCTCAGCAGGGCTCGTTATCCTCCTCTGGCTCTGCTACACCCTGTAGACAAACCCTAAATGTCACTATCTCCTTTTTGTGCATAGGGACACACCAGGAGATGAAGCAATCGCCCACAAGGATACGGAGTCAAGGAGAGACCCCAGAACTCCCAAGTGCCACAACTAATGAGCGTCTGTGTTTGAAAGAGCTGCCTTGTGCTGTTAGGATCACCCTCCTCCGGCAACCCCTCCAGAAAGCGAGGGGCAATCGCAGAGCTCAGTGTGCATCCCTGCAGCTCACGCATCCCTTAGTCCCATCCGGCTGCAGTTAAATGCTGGAGGGGATAATAAGGGATGGCTACGGTGCACCTTTGTTTTTTGCCTTTATAGGACATGGCTTGCTCACATGGTGTGAGTAGTCCAGCTGAGGGGACGAGAAGTCTCCAAAGCCTCAGCCTGCTCCTCACTGCTCCCATGGTGAGATACAGCCCAGGAGAGCCTCTCACCTCAATCAAAACATGACAGTCGGGGATGGGAGAGGAGCAAAGCCTGATGCCACCGCAGCAGCATGCTACGTGCTGTCCTGTCTGGGGCCAGGGTACAACAAGGGATGCCCCTCCAAGGTCTGCTTTCCCCGTGCCTGTACCCCAGCCGCTCCAGGCCCGGGAGAGGAGTAGTCCTGCACCCAGCATCCAGACCAGGGCAGGTAGCCAGCAGCTCCCACAACTTTCAAGTCTTTGGCTTAATAAGAATAGCTTTTGGGTGCGATTGCAGTAGTTTCTAAGCACATTTGAAACCTCTGGCAAGCTCCTGCGTTAGCCCCCATCCCTTTCTCTAGCATCTGCCCAGTGCCAGAACCATCAGGAAAAGGTATTCAAAAGCACGCAAGTCTCGCTGAAAAGCCTCATTTTTCAAGAGTGGCTTAGAGGCCAAGCTCTTGTGTCACCTGCGTGTTTTGGAAAGCTTCAGCCTACCCTGCCTTCCACGGCATGAAACACTGCGGTGCAATCGCTTCTAAACAACGCTGTTTTCAAGGAACAAAACAGCGATGATTCCACCTGACAGTCTTTTCAACTCTTCTGGGAGAAGGGGAAACTGAGCCAAGAAAGCATCTGAGAAGTCAAGCTGTTGCAAATCTCCAGGAGTAAAGGCTTCTGGTAAAATGTGTGCTTCTGTCACGCTATTACTCCTTCTAAATCAGTTTTTACTAAGTGTCCCGCATATGCCCTTTGCTTCAGCGACAGGATATCCTTCATTTGTCTGCGTAAAGTGCAGATGAGCACTTCTTCATGTTGTTTTCCAAGTCGGTTGATGGGAGGGTCAGCAGGGGCCGAAGCAGCTGCACCAAGTAAAGGAAAGGTAACCATGGCAACCCAAGTTATCTGCATCCTCCATGTATTTCCTTCTCCCCACCCTACATCATATCTTTCCCACCCAAACCTCAAGCCGATAGAGCCAGTGACCAGCTGGCAGGATGGGGACCACGGCAGGGTCTCCCGTACCCAGTGTATCTTGCTGTGTTTCGGGTCTCACTGTTGCAGACTGAGGTCATTAAAAAGAGACCAAAAGCGCAGAGAGGGGTAACTTGCAAAAGGCAGAGCTCTTCGTTACTGTAGATGGGGCGCTGGATATGTTGCCTTTGCTCCAGAGTTGCAGATTCATTGATGCTGCTCCTGGTCTTGGCTCTGAGCTGTAACCCTTCCACAGCAGCAACAGCTTCTCCGTCTGCACCCCACATCAAACCCAGCTACAGTTTTGGCCGGACTTTCCTGGGACTTGACAAATGCAACGCCTGCATTGGGACATCCATTTGCAAGAAATTCTTTAAAGAAGAAATAAGGTCAGAAACTCAGCACAGTAATTTTTAAAGCATTCTGCTTAGTAACTTGAAAGTTGCCTGTTAGTATTTCCAAGTACTTTAATGAACAGCAATGCAAAGAGTATATAGCACCTGGTTGCCATTACAACGCCTAGTATTTTAATTAATGTCTATAAGCTGCTGCTTTGTCTCTTCTGCTTCAGCCCTGAATTATAATTTGAAAGCAGGAGTAAAAGGTGCAACTTTCTGCATAGAGAGTGGCTCTGAAACAATTCAAGGCAGTGATGGGGGAAGGAAAGAGGGAAGGAAGAAATCAGCTTGTTTAGATGTACTGGAAATATTTTACTATGAGCAACTGAGTAAAGGCAAAAGGGGTTTAGCTTTGTACGCTCCCAACGGACTATGTTAACTACAAACACATAAACATGCTATATAATTTCTACCAGGTGCAACAACACAAATTTCACGTGCAGAATTTCACGTGTGTATTAACTAAGATCAAAAGCAATCTGTACCTGCCTGAGGCACGAGGACTTTTGCACATTAAGTTACCTACGCGCTGGAAAATAGATGGGGCTAGACGAGTAGTACGCTTTTGGGAGGTTTCTGTGAGAACTTGAAGGCAGAGGCAGAAATTGTATCTGCCTCGAAGTCGATGAGACATACGCTGTCCAAGCAGCCGTTGGACTGATCCAATCAGTTTTAGGCTCAAAAGCAGAGCGTAGCTGATGACAGCAGGGAAGATGTTGCAGGTGTATTTGAGGAGAAAGTTAAAGGCAGTGCTTGGCAGAGGAAGGGTTTATTGGGTCTGATATGATTTATAGAGCCATATGCGCTTTCTTTTATAGATATGAAAGCCTGGGGGAGAAGAAATGATTATAGTAAAATTGTATTTTTAATGCTATAATGTAAGTAGTATAATATTGGACAAATCACCATTTTTATCTTAAACTATCCTATAAAATGTAGCACGGTAAAACCATAATGGTTTGTCTGGGATGGACTTGTAAGACCGAACATCCATCCTTCCCTTACTGCCGCTGGAAAAAGGCTTTGCTACCCCAAGGCACCCCTTGCCGTGGCACACTTGGGGTCCCAGCCCTCGGCGCTTTGCCCTCTTGGCTTTCCATCTCCCCCGACTCGTGCCGAGGACAGTGCCGGGGCGTGCAGTAAGGAAGGTGCAGAGGCACTAAGGAGGGCCAGACCAGCAGTGCTGGGTTTCTCCCAGCCCAGCCCGGGCTCCTGTCCCAAAACCAGAACCGATTTGCAATCAGCGTGTTCAGTGGGCTGACACGGGCTGGTGTGGGTCTGCAGGGGCTGGGGGTGCATTCGGGGTACGGGCTGCCCAACATTTTATTCTCTGCAGCAGGGTGGCACAGGAGCTGGTCCTGCCCCGTGCCCCAACCTGCTGCGGCCCCTTTGCCTGTGCAGGGTTTTGAGGGACCTGCTGTCGGGTACAAAGCAGCGCCCATGCATGCAGCGTGTCACGGGTGCATCGTTTCGGTTACTCCCACTTAGCTGCTGGGGAGGTTGGGGCCGTGCACCTTCCTTCAGCCCTGCCGAAAATGCCAGTAGCCTTCTGAAGCGAGCAAGTGCCTCTGGCTGGCCAGTGGCCAACTGCATGCTGCACCGGGATGCGGGAAAGACATGCTTCGTGAGCGAAAACAGGAGACCCCCACGCCGGCTTTCCTCCGGAGAACAGCGGGAAAGGGGTGCAGAGGGTCTGAGCAGGGTCCGGGAGTGCAGAACCACAACCACGTGGGAGCACGATGCTTCTGCCTCAGGGAAGGTGGAGGGGCTTCCTAAACCAGAGACTTTTGGTTCCTCTCCTGCCAGCCCACCATCAGCTTCCCACAAGCAGTGCAGCCCACAAATAAGTGATAACGCACAGTTCTGCTCCGAGCGCTTCGCAAAGGGCAACTTTTTAAAAATGTTCTCCTGAGAGTCAGTCAGCTTCAGGCTTTTCTTTGCAGGGGTTAAACTTGTTCTCCCACTTGATGCCTTGAACAGCCAGAATTTTTTGGCAAGTGGAAGGTTAAATGGGAGAAGTTTCAGTGGCACTTACGCTCTTTGATCCACCCCCGTCGTGTACCTCTTCACATATTCACAAAGGTGGATGGCACTTGGCCCTTCTCTGTGTTAATCCTCATTAGAATATGCTTCATTAATTCTCCATCATTTCCGGGAGCTGTGACACGCATTCACACTCGACTAACGAGTAAGAAGATGTGGGGTTTGTTCCCAGAACGGCTGGTGACTCATCTTGCGCTCTAATGTTCTTTACTTCCCTTGTCTTTGCCCAACTTTATCCATTTCAGCCCTCTGTAAATGAGACTACCAAAGCCTGCCTACCAACCGCCCTGAGAGCAGAGCGCAGCAAAAGTTTTTGTAAAATACTAGATTTTCAAAGCTCTGCGAAGCTGAGCTGACCAAAATTATTTGCAGACTTGTGCCAATGCTGGTGATGAGCCTTGGCCAAAAGTAACGGGAAGGAAGTCTGAAAAAGCTGGAACGCTTCAAATTGATGGGGTTTTATATGGCATTTCTTTATTTTTGGTTTTAAGACTTATTTTAAAGACTAAATTAAAAAAAAATGTGAAACTCCAAATGCAAGCAAAAAGTATTTTGGCTGAAACAAAATGCTTCAATTCATCCAGGAAAAAAGAAAAACAAGTTTGATTTTCTTCAGCATTTAGTTCTAGGTTGATCCAAAATCTGTGATCTGTGACTCAGTTATTCACAGAGATCTTACTGAAAGTCTTCATTAAAGCACGTTCAGGCCCTTAGCTAAAAGGCTTCGTAGGAGAGTGAATTATGGTTACAGCACAACTTGATGATGAATCTTGAAAGTATCCAGCAAGTGTGCCAGGCCAGTGCTGCGCTGCCCAGAAACGATGCCAAATACAGAATTGCTGCAGCCCATGTCGCGTTCCCAGGCCTGCCTGGCTCTCCCCCGGCAGCTCTGCAGAGGAAATCGCTCCATCCACGCTCAAATTAACGCTCAGCCCTGGATTTCACACATCCACGCGCTGCTTGCACGCGGGAGGCGGTGCTTTCCTCCTATCTGCCCGACGGGAGCTCCCCTGAACGCACACGCTTGAGCCAAACCACGAGGCACATTTGTGCTTAACTTTAAAAAAAAAGAAAAAAAAAAGAAAGAAAGAGAAACCCAGCCCAGAGCCATCTCTTCCCTGTACGTGCCTGGCACACTGCGCCTGCTTTGCAGATTAGGCACTGGGAGGGGTCGTCATGCACGACAACTCACAGTGAGGCATAGAAATCATTCTCTGCTCTTTAGTCCCAGCTCAAAACTAGACCAAAAAATAATAATAAAAAAACCCCACCAAAAAAACAAGGCGTTTATTTTCATATCAGATGCCCTAATCGTAGAGAAACTTTAATTTCATATTGGGCAAAATGCCCAAATGACCAAAAAGCCTGAACCCCCCCCCAACCTGCTCACACAAGGGGCCAGGCTCCTCCACTTCTGGTCAGCCTACATCTCCACAGCAAATTTTTTGAAGGAGACATGTGGTTAGAGCCGAAAGCCAAAGCAGGGGAAGCGCCAGCATTTCAGGGACACTGGCTGTCCCCCGCCCCAGGCACCCGTGCTCGCGCCGGAGCTGAAGGTCCGTGGTGGGGACGGGGAACGAGGTGCTGCCTTCAAGAGAGGTCATGAGGAGGAGACTGGTCGGTCTCTCATCACCGAGGGCAGCTAGCATCACCGTGTCAGTTATTTGCCTGCAATCAGAGGAAATTAATCCCCCCAAATTTTCTCTGTGGCAATTTCCCAACTGGAAGTCAAAAGGAAAGATCAGCTTCAGCTTTCAGATTTGTTAATGTCTTTTCATCTAACTCCAGCTTGCTGATCCTACAGGGAACCTCTTGCCTCTCCTGTTTCACTTCTGAGCTATATGAGCTTTAATTTATGGTGAGATTACATTAGGACGAGCTTTCTTACCCACTTGGGCAGGGAGGTTAGGGCAGGAGGTTTTACAAGCAGCGAATGCATGACGTTGGCCAAACGAAAGGCCAGAGTTCAGCCCCTTTCCAAAAACAGGTTACAGACAGACTTACAAACCAGGCACCATGCTCCTCAGCTCCGGCATGTGCGATGCGTGTGTGGGCAGGGCTGAGGGGGCTGCTGAAACAAAAAAAAGTCGTCACAGCCTAATTACCCAGCCCATATGCTCCCCTCCTGTGCCTGTGTAGGGGGAGCAAACCAGTGCAAGATCTCCATGGCTACAGTGGTGCCGCACGCCCAGGGCACGCGTCCTCCCGTCCCCCCCATCACACCGCTGCCTGGGGACGTCTCTCATCCCAGCTGCTAAAATACAGCCAGTGACATCGGGGGGACACCTGTTGACTCCAGTACCAAGTAAAGCCACCACCTCAAAACAAAAGGTCATTTTGATGTTCCCAAATACATTTATGGTCAGGAGGTTTTGTTCTGCAGGGTCACTTAAAGTGTTGAGTACCTCTTTTTTGGGCCCCTTTCTCCAGAATTAAGAAAATTTAAAAATGCTGGGGATTCCTTGTGAACCAAAACCCTGGAGCCCTCTCCTGTCCTTCCCTCTATGTGGCCCAAAAGGCCCCATTTGGGTGTTTCACCCCCCACCCCGTGGTACAGTTCATGACAAGGGATGGTTTAAGTGGGAAGCAAAAAAGACAGGACATTTTTCCCAAAGCACATTTCCTCATCCGACGGCTTCATCCCACTCACCTCACCCCAGCACCCAGGTCCACCTACCCAGGGCCACTTGGCCTTTGCCACACGATGGCAGAAAGCCCCTGGGGCCGGCGTGTGGTGGAGCAACCGCGCTGGTGCTGTGCGGGTGTCCATGTGGCTTGTTAACCCGCTCTCCGTGGGGCTCTCATTTTGGTTTGGCAGGTTTGACACCTGGCTTTCTTCTCATTTAAAGCTGCCCCCCAGCTACCTGCTCAGCTACTCGGGCAACTACACCGACGATGCCAAGAGCTGGCGACTGGTTGACATCACCCGACTGACCTCCAAGTACCGGCACGACCGGGCTGACCAGCGCATCTGCACCTCCCTGCTGAAGACAAAGACCTGCAGCCTGGAGCGTGCCCTGCGCCGTACACACCGCTTCCAGAAGTGGCTACGGGCCAAGCGCCTCACCCCCGACCTGGTCCAGGTCTGTGCCCCACAGCCCCTGTGCCCCACAC